ATATATAATAATATATATTAATTATATATATATTTATATTAAATATATATTATTTATTTAATTATATAATTTATTTAATTTATTATAATTTAATATTATTTTAAATTTTAACCGAATTTAATATTATAATATATTGAATATTTATTATTATTATATTTATATTTCAAATATTATAAATTAAAATCAATATAATTATTAATAACTAATTATTTTCATAGAATTATTTTTTTATTTCGATATATATATATATAATTTAGATCAATCGCAGCAGTAGTTGGAATCAATAGCATATAACAAAAATACAACAAAATAAGCCAACATATAATAGCAGCATATAGCAGCAATAACATGATCAATATCAAGATCGCTAACATTTGTAGAAACCAAATAAATTAAGCCTACTTGCTTGAGCGAGCGACAGAATCTGGCATCCCATACCACCCAATACCACCCAATATAAAAATAGACCAAGGTCAATTCATATTTCACCATATGTTTGTACGTCCGATGGGCACAATCTCTGCAGAGGGTCACGTTTCATAAGCCACCACCGGGCTGCCCCTACCGCCTAAAGAGAATTTAGAAGAACTTGAATAGTAGGAATTTGATAGGAGATTAGATTTGAGTAATTAGATTACCTGGAAATCAAGTCCTATGTAAGAACTATCGAATAATTCCTATGTAATAATTCCCGTGTAACTCCTGTGCAAGAATTGTTATGTCATAACTCCTGTGTAAATAATATTGTAGGAGTATTGCAGGAGATTTGTAGACGTTGAGTACCTATAGGGCCTATAGGTTCTATTGATGATGTAGATGATGTATGTGATGTAGAGGTAGGAGATAATGTGTAGATGAAGTGAAAAGTTGAATTTGGTAACAATTCTTTGGGAAAAATCAATCACAGGAGCCTTCGAGAAAAAGGAAATCAATCAATATATATATATATACATATGATTTCAACTGTCTATCTTGAAAAAAATACAATTGAAGATAAACACAAATATGGTATGCATGCAAATATATATATATATATGTATATATATATCTAAATATATATATTCATGTATATATGTATATATGGATGTATATATATATATAATTATATATATATAGAATTAGTTCATAGTCATTTAGATAAAACATTTTTGTTACCGTACTTGATCTTAGCCGGATGGTCGAAATAGAGACTAAATTCGAGAGTTGTTATCTTCTTCTGGGCGTCTAGTGCAAAAATTGAAGTAAGGACTTGGGGAAAATCACCAGTACTGATTTTATCATATTTTATCAATACATTAAATTTACAGTGAGGATGTTGTTTGAACAAGCATATGATATCATGTGATGATATGTGATTTGTGTAAGGGTAGGGATGTGCAGATATTATCGAGGCCACACTCTGAGGTGCAAACGTGGTACTTGAGGATGATGAGCTTGAACCTAAACGACAACTTTCGACGTGCCCTAGATCCTTTTGCCATGCCATTATCCTTTTTTTGTGACATTTGGGTGTGACTGAAAATGGGGTATACCTCCAATGGGGTTTAGGGGCACACTATTTTCAGACAAACCCATTGCATTTTCCTCACAGATCTGCTTGTTGCGAACTAGGACTTTCAAACATAGCCATCCCAAAGACATGACACGCTCTACAACTTTGGCATAAGTCACAAAAAAACCTGAGCTCGAGACTACTGGAGAAGGATACCTGCCGAAGGAGTGGAACATCATGAAACAGCTTCATCCCGCAATCCAAACAACAAGTAGCTGGAATGAAGAATAATAAGAATTAGTATCAAAGTACCAAAGCCTTCTTGGATTTCTTCTTTTTCTTCCTTTTCCTGTCCTTTTCTTTTTTCCTCAGGACCAAATTCAAGACCGGCCCAGGGCATCCCGGGGCTCTCGGTGTTAAGCCCTTGACAAGGCTGACTTCCCTTTGTCCTTTCGAGCCTGCACCCCCAAAGCTTAGGTCGAAGGTGAGGCTTGGCGCAGGAGACTCTCAAGGATTTGTCTTTGAAGACAATTTAGAGTCGTTAAAGCCTCATGATTCCAACGCTTATTGTCTATGCCTCTGCGTTCTTATGATTTCAAAGATTGATGCATTCTTTCTTATTCAATCCCATTGGATCCCATTTGTTGGTTTAGCACGGTGATTTTTAGGTGCAAATCAGGATCACTCACCCCTCGCCTTCTTTGTCCCTTCACTTTTGCTTTTCTCTTTCTCATCCTTGCAGTGACGCCGGTCACTCAACAACATATGGATATACCAGATACATATATAATATATATACATATGTATATGTATATGTATATAATCTGTATATATGTATATTTAATATGTATGTGTGCACCCGTGTATATTGGTATATTATATGTGATATTGTACATTTGTATGTGTGTATATACATGCATAGCCTCGAAGGGTAATGGAGCGGTTGCTCCATGCTTCTGCAGCTTTGGAGTGACCTCAAGACTGTTTCGGCCCTTTTCCAATGGTGCAAAATGGCATCCTTGTGGTGCCAACATTTGTGAATCACAGATATCATGGGTGGTAAATGGCGATAATCCCAAAAAACTGCAGAATACTGGAGATATATCCACCATGATTAAATCCGGGTTTGCTGAACTCTAAAACAACTTAATTACCTATCTAGGGTGGCCCTTCTGTGGATGGTAAATATCTGATGAATGATATGAATGCTGATTAGCTGAGCATGTGTACGTCATGTCATCCAGATCTGAAGCTTGACGAGCAGCAGCATCACATCTAAAATATCTCAGTGCAGCCACCAGCTTGTCGTACATCTTGCGCAGGGTCTCTTTTGGATTTGCTACTTGAAAGGCCTGTGCAAACTTAAACAGGCCGTTTCACGGCAGGATGATCTGTGACGCTTTGGCTTTTGACAGGGGCTCATCACCATGAGATGCCTTACGATCCACAAGGATACGCGATTCCATTATGTTTAGTGACACGTTTCATCCAAAGTTTTATGAACCTCAGGTAGATTCAGGCGGGGATGTATTCCAACCTGTTCCAATCAGTTTCTGCCCAGCATCGCCCACCTCTTTGTCCTTCTTGTCATAAAGCTTTGCCCAGGCCTTGCAAAAAAAAAACACACACACACAATTCGCGTCTGGGGCAGCAAATCCAATACCATGTGCGACATTCACACAAATGTTGAATGGAGTGCTTTTTTTCTTACTCCATATTGTACGGTGTCATTTGGACGGATGCCAGGCAACGCTTCACTGATGCTCCGTCTTCGCCTTTACCATCCCAGAACAATGCCCAAAAAAGTTTGGAGAGAAAGTTCGGTTTCCCACTAAAATGTAGAATCGGGTTTTGCCAACTGCGATCAACTGTGTGGATTTCATGAATCATCCATTTTAAATTAAAATATCCTCCAGATTAAGCATTCGGTAGTCTAACCGGTTCGGATGATTTCAAGGGAAAATCTGCAGAAAACCAGGAGCTTTCCCATTCGAAATGGGGGGTTTCCCCCATTGAATCCCAAATAAAATCCTATTAATTCTCACTATATTCCCATTAAGATCTCATTATCATCCCATTTTTTTTGGGTGCTCTTTCGTTGCTCAACATGGGCACTCCACTGGCCTGGCTCTGGTCTTGGATTCCGCGAGGTCGCGACGACATGGCCTGATATCCGTATGGTACATGTATGGCGTGTACAGCATAATTATGTGCAATGTATGTGACCTGTGGTAGTTCAAGAAATTCTCGGAAAGTCACGTCCCATCAATGAGACCCAGCTTGGCGTCCCACACACAGCAAGGGTAGACCGGAGTTTTGCACGAGGTTTGCTGACAGATGCTGTTTGATTCTGTTAGTACACATTAGCACCATCTCCAACATAGCGGCACCATACAGCACCTTTTGACTCAGATTTGTGGGCAATGTTTCCAAGAGTTCGCCCTGCATCAAGGGAACAAGCCGAGCACTGACAGTGATCTGCAGAAAAAGGAGTTATTGTATGATGCAGTGTGGATCACTGTGGCAATGAATGGCTGCAGATGACACAGCTCCTTTTTGACGTCAGTCAGGTCACCCAAAACAAACCACCTCTTGGCTGCATGTGGCACTATGTGCAGCCTGTCAAAGTAAGGTTCTTGAAGAATTCTCGATTCTTAGTGATTCTTACCCGAGGGGTTACAGTGCAAAGTTCCTTCTATCTGGAAGAGTCAACCTGTTGACATCTGTTGACATCTGTTGACTGTTCAACTTTTTCATCCTCCGATGTCCCCAGGGCGTCTATGCCACCAACCCCGGCATCCCCGCGGGGCACCTCTGAATTTGGAATCGTGAGACTCACTTCATTACCGCAGTAAGCAGTATCTCAAAAAGAAACTAATTATCTCAACGTATCTTAACATCTCTCACTGATTGGCATCGGCGTCCACCTCTGAAGCGTCTGGGACCTCAGACTTTCGAAGACACACAAGTGCTCAAAGAATTCTCCCAAGCTTTTCCCACCTATATCCCGTTTACAGATCCTTTCAGGGGCGTTTCAACTACTGTAGATCCCACCGTGAGAAACCATGGGTCCGACATGGTCCTACTTCGTATCCCAGGGGCCCCAAGCCTCGTCGCCGAGATCACTCAAATCCTCCAACAAACTCTGCCGCTTCTCTGGAGTTTGGGGTCCGCAGCGCGGGCCCTGCAGCAGTTTGGAGCTTGCGGCGTCAAAGAATTTACATCAAATAGGTTTCAGTCACAAATCATCAAGTTATATAAAATTCAAGTGTTGCAAACTGGTTTCAGGCTTCATCGACTTGGCTGCAATAGTCAGAAATGAATCAAAGATCTCTTTGAACAACAATATTCTCGCGTATTCTTGGATAGTCTTAGGGGTACCCCCATTCCATCCCATGGAAAGTGCCACGATTGGGGTATACCCAATTTTTGCAGGAACCCATATACGATTTTTCGTCCGGTGATAGAGCCCATACCATATAATTATACGCCACTATATTTGCCCATTCTATTCCCGGAAATCTGTTTGACATCCGGATCTTTGATGGTGATATATCCCATTAAACATCAGTTTCTTGATGGTGTTATTATACCCCCCATTATCATCCATTATCCAGTTTAGATGCCCTCTGATCTATCTGTTCAAAATCCGATTATCATGGCCAATCTTAGATACCCTGCCCCCGGATAAGAAAACAAGTCAGCACATTCTATTATAAGTTGCACTTGCTTGTACCTAATAGTTACCCAACTCGTGACATTTGCCCCAGTTTCCCAGTTTCTCTATGAGTTTGTTCCTTATATATATATACATATATATACACACACATATATATATATGTATGTATACATATATATATACATGCATATATAAAATAAACACACACACATACAATATATATATATACATACATAATATGCATGTCTCTCTCTCTCTCTCTTTCCCTCCCTCTCTCTCCAGCGCCATCAGCAAAGTCTCTCATGGTGAGGAGAAGGGAAACAAACATGCAATCCCAAATAACATGACACACGCACAAAAAAACAAATATACATATCAATCAATCTCTCATGGTGAGGAGAAGGGAAACAAACATGCAATCCCAAATAACATGACACACGCACAAAAAAACAAATATACATATCTTTCTCCCTCTATCAATATACATTTTTTTTAAACATGCAAGTGTCCATATATATATATATAATTTTATATGTATGTAGCATTATTTATATAGCCTTGTTCAATATATACAGATACATGTATTATTTATCCAACGGTAAATCCACATGTTCAGCTGCTCCGGTCTGTTCCGGTCGCCTCAGAGACCCAACTGGAACGGTCAATGGAGCGATCCTGCTGAGCCAGGTGGCCCAACCTGGTGGCCATGGATTCAAGAATCTAAACCGATGCTGCAAATAGATGGTTGAAATTTAAGGTGAATTTCAGTGATATCCTTGGTATTTGAATGAATGCTAAAAATATATAAACATATGATTCATATGATGATCCTATGGAAGAGAAAGAGTGATTTTGCATGTTCCATGCGGAATTCGCTAGGAACAAAGAAGCCAAAAAGCAACAACCAAGTCATTTTTGGATGGTTTTTGGCACAGAAAAATGTGGCCCACCTGCTCCTGTGGTTTCCCAAACAGCTAGGCACTCTTGGACAGTGTAATATGATGTAATATGGAACTTTTAGGCAGGCTGTGGGCTTTGGGCATGGATGGCACGATGGAGATGGAAAACGAGTCATTCTCAACAACAGTAAGAAGTGTGCTAGTCATATGGATGTATCGTCATGGCTGTTGGGGCAAACGATTCAACATGGCAAAAGGGTGAATTTACTTTGTGCCTCGCGACCGGCCAGACTAAATCTCGCCTTCTCAGGAAAGCAGCAGCACCTACACAGCTGCAAAGTCACGCAAAGGTAGAGTCACTGCACCTTTGCACCTGGATGCCTAACAGGAACGGAAATCAACCTCTTCCACGTTCATTCCTTTTCTCTCACAGGGCCTTTGTTCGGTGCCGAAATGCTGTTGAGAGCTGCCCGCTCCAACAAGAGCAGCCTCAGGCATCTCCAACTGAGCTGTGAGGGTCCAGCATGCACTGGGTATTTTTTTGGTTAGGGAGGCAAATACCCTTGCAGCCCGAGAGGCAAATGCTGATGCTCCATGGCCACTCGATCCGAACGCTGATCCTGGCAAGGGTGGAATTCAATTGTTGGCTGGAAAGTTTCAAACATTGTCAAGAGATGCATCTGATGTTTTAGGGATTTATGCTGATGGGTGGTCTCACCCATTCTAACTCCAACCCAATCCTGACCCATTCCAACAATATCAGTCAATCAGCTACATACATATGCCACAATACTCATAACCTCAGGAATTCCAGACCCATTTGAAGCTGTCACTCCCGTCGCAAGATCTGACAGGCCAGATGTCACGAGCCCAGTTTGCCCTGAGAGACCTGAGATGCACATCGCCCAGCTTAGATTGCTTAATCTTTAGCACACCATGAGCAATAACGCATGGAAATAAGAGTTCAACATGCCACTTGGACCACCTACTTCACGTCACATCCATTTTGAACAGGTTCCGACAAATTTTGAACCGGTTCTGACATGTTCCCAGTATGCCCTTTCATTCAATCCTTGGCTGCAGCCTGGTACTCATAGGGTGGTCATTTCACCCCCCATCATGTCCGATTTTTCTCAGAGCGCCAACTGTCTGTGCAACTTCTGCTGGCAGCTGTCACCTGAAGGTGGGCAACTGCCTAAGTCGCAGCCACTCATTTAAGACCTTCAGGCAACTGCCTTGCAGAATCTGCGCGCAATCAACTGCTTCTGAGCAGATGAAGCTGGATTTTCTCGCTGGATCCATCTGGAATCCAGTTGGGTCCGAAGCGAACTGTACTCGGAAGGCCTTTCCGTTCAGAAGCGCGGTTGGGTGAAGGCCAAGGATGTAAACATTCCTATCTTCTCAGCCTGAAGCCCCCGGCTGCACCTGTACCATGGGAAAGCACGGGCCACAGGGCCACAATCTGCTCCCAAGAGCGGCCAGGGGAAGAGACTTTGCTAGATTGAGCATTTCATCTGTCAAACATCAAGGAAAATCAGTCGAACATTCATCATTCAAAAGGACTCATCCAAATCAAGGCTAAATGAAGCTTGACACAAAGATTTTTCGTATTTCTTAAACTCATACAACAATCAACAACAGTTCTCGTTCTGACATTTGCACCCAACAAATTGGGCACTTGACGTCTCAGAAAGGCGTCACATGTGGCCATTGGGCTCCAAAGACCAGGTACATCGTCTCTCCAGCAGTGGCGGGCATCTATGAAAAGTCTATGTCGTGCGTGATGCAAGATGCATACCATACTATACTGCCAAATTGCCAAACAATTGCCTTGTATGGCACACGGATCACATCATCACATTTAAGAAAAGGCAAGTGCACCAACTGCCAGATCTCCGAACAATGCATTGAATTCGCGTCCAACTCAACTCCCTGTGGGAGAGGACAATTGCCCCTGGTGGAATTTCCACTTATATATTTGATATCAAATAATCGTAGATATAACTGCTGTAAGGATCATGAACCGTTAAGGTGGTGCACACAAGCACACAGAAGAAACATGGATGGGTGTGCATTTCGAGTGGGATTGACCCCTTTAAACAGCATAGGCTGATTTGACTCATGCGGTTTCACCCCCCCGTCCGTCAAACTCCAGTTCAATATTGCCACTGTCCGTAGTCTTATTATTAACTTATTATTCTCTAAATATCTTAAATCTGGCTGACCCGTTGACATCGAAGCTTTGCGGTGGATGGGAGTGGCTGACCCGTTGACATCGAAGCTTTGCGGTGGATGGGAGTAGCAAGTAGGCTGAACAAACATGAACAAACAATATAAACCAGGAGCAGCGACATACGACAATCTACAAACACTTTGCAATGGATTGATGCCACTGCAGAGCCCTTTGGGCACGGCATGGCACATGCAGCTCCCAACGCAGTTTTTGCTCGCTTGCCCCCAGAGCCTTCATATAAGTCTTTCATCCAACACTTACCACGTGCTGCGGCTCACAGTATGTGCTTTGGGCAAGTTAGATCAGAAATGTCACGACACGTGGCCATGTCTGTGTCAGTGCGTACTCACAATGCGCAAGCCAAGCAAGCAAAGATCGAAAGCATTGGCAAAAACTCTGCAAAACCTGATGCCTCTGCACCAGCCATGCATTCGTAATGCAACAAGTCATTGATCGCGTGTGGCCTTCTGAACGGTTGTGGAGAGCAAAAGATCAATGGGGAAGAGATTGCCAGATCGATGGCGAGACACGTTGTGACATACGAGTACTGGACACAGATAAACTATGATACATAATAGGAAAAACAACTGAACAACCAGGACAAATCAACAACAGAACTCTAAGTAAAGAAATAAGCAGAAATAGATGTGGATGGGTGAAAGGACGTAAGTAGACATACACAAAAGCAGATTATTCGAGAGATAGGCACTGCCAAATGGAACGTGCTGTGGGCATATTAATAGACAGCTAGGTGGATTCACAAAATGGACAGTCAAAGACTTATATAGATTTACCAACAGATTCGGAGGTAGACGGGCAAATAGACAAATGTATAGAGGCCGTATTTGTGTAAAGGCAGCTAGTAGATAGGTTGGCCCCTAGGCACATGGATGCGCATTCACATGCAACTAAATGAAATGAAGCCTTCCAACACCTCCGACTTTGGCCAATTTCAACTACAGTAGGTTTCTGCTTAGATCTATATGTTGGTTCATCTGTCTGCCTATTTCTTTGTCATGTTCCTGAAGTCCTATATCACATCAACATACATCAACCGATCTTTCTATCTGTTTAAATGCAAGCTAGCAGCCACGCATGTGCAAACACATTGAGCAAACTATGTATGTATCTTGTCATGTGGAATTATGTGAAGGCAAAATGTGTCGCAACCCACCCGCATTCAAAGGAAGTTGCCTTTTGGCGTAAAGCAGCAATGGATCTCCATCAATCGCTGTCTGAAGCAGAACTATCAGTTTTGGCCACGCAGCCCAATGAGGCCCCGTTCTCATGAATTCTTGGCGCGCCGGCGCGCGAGAACGTGACCGTTGGGGGGTTCCCGACCAACAACGACATGGTCATGCTTAAGAAATGTCAAGCACAAAAGTATTAAAAGAGTCCTCAAATGGCATTTCCGCAGGCAAAAAAGCCTCGAAAACTTCCAATGCCCCATGGCACAACAGGTGATATCCCCAAACCACGACTGAAACTCTTCTTGGAAGAAGTCGTGTGGGAAAATGGAGAGTCGTCCGTCGCCATGGATCAAGGACAGGCGATGTCCAACCTTGTCTCAGCAAAAGCACCGAAAGAATCCGAAAGATAAGTTGTCAAAGGAAGTTTAGTAGTCTAAACTCCGTTGTATGAATTTTCAAAATGTGGAGAAAGTAGAGATGTGGAGAGAGTAGAGATCCAGAAATCATGGTTGTATCATGGTTGGCTATGCCCTTCCCAGGATCTCAAGAAATTTCATGGCCAATCAGATCCAATAGGCCACTAAGCAATAGGCTCCATGATGAGTTTTCCCCTCAGCCCAAGGCCTGGCAACCCATCGACAAGACACGGTTCGGCCATCCCCTCGCTGTCAGTGATGTCTCCGGGATCTGTGGTCACATCCGAAATGTTTGTGGATGCAGCATCGCTCTTTGAAAGTTTGATCCTTGGTGCATCTACATGTTTGCATACATATATACACATATTTCCATCACCGTTCTCCACGCGGGCCAAAAACTCCAGAGCATTGCAGCAATCTGAATCGTACAAACAACAACTACCAGAACTCACCTATGATAAACATGGATAAACATGGATAAACATGGATAAACTGCTATGCTGCTATAGTTGTCCTTAGATGAATCAGTTGGACTCCCCTGGGTGGTCCTCTCCACTGAAGCTGCATCCCAGGGGCGGTTTCTCTGGTCTCTCCCAGTGCAAGGACCCCGGCGGCGCCGGGCTTCCGCTTGGAAGATAGATACCGGCCTGCCACCAGAAAATGGTGCGCACGGCTGGGTTCAAGGGAACCAACACGGTACACACTCAATCAATATCATATCATATCATGCCATGTGATGTCATATCATTTCATAACATACAGTATGTCAGTATACTGTTGTTTTAGATATTTTAGATAGTATAAACTTATTCAATATCATACATATGTTATGTATGCACATCAAGTCGAAACGTGCTGGTTACACATCACAGGTCGTCCCACCACGAGGATGGTCAAGCTGCGTGGCTTGTGCTGCAGTCAATGGCCCTTGCCATTTAAATAAGTTACAAGCTATCAAACACTAAAAACACGTTCAAAATGATCCGGATCATCCCAGCAACATCGATGTATACTGTTTGTTTAACATAATATATATATATATTCCATATAACAAAACAATCATGACACAATATGACACATCTATCTGCACCCGGGGAGTGGTTGCAACACGTTGTAACTAGTGTCGCTTTCCATTGCTTTCCGTTGCTTTCCTGCTTGGCGCCTGCTTCTGAGAGGGGCCAAATGGCGACTTCTCACCGGCGCTCTCCTTGAGATCTGTGGCCACCCTCTTGCTCCGGTCAAACCAGCCGTGCACCTGAAGGGTTACCGGGTTTCTCAACCAACATGGGGATTTACCATGATACCTGTGATATATAGCAGATTTATGATAGGCAAGCTATAGTAAGCGGGTAAAAGTAAGTAGGCAACTCGATTTAATAGGCAGGGTCCCTGTAGGAAAAGGGCATGAAAAGAGGAAGTGGCATGCCTTCCATGACCCTCTCATGGTTGCCTCTCAACATCGTCCAGTCGCGTAACTCCCACAGTCGTCAAACTACTCACTGCAATGTTGCAATGAGCGAGCATATGCCCTATCATAATTCTGCCATATTATTTCCATGTCACAGAACTCCAGCTTTAGCAACGGCACTTTGTCCAAATGAGTGCAAATTTGGCTTTGCGCAGAGCTTTCTGGCAAAGACTTGTGTGAGATGTTCACATCCTCAGCTCGCGGGAATAGCTTCTGGCTTCTGGTTGGACCAACAAACAGCTTAAACGTGTTGCGGCCAAATTTGTGTTCTGGCCGTTTTTGGGATGCACTATACGCGGATACTGCCCTACGAGCAATTGATTTTCAAGCGTGTGTTCGGTCAATTCGTCGACAAACACACAGGTCGGAATTTCGAACGCACGAGCATCTCAAAACCGCCTTGCAACACCCATGTAAACGGTACTCATCTGGTTGGTGGTTTCAACCCCTCTGAAACATATTAATCAATGGGAAGGATTATCCCATATATTATGGAAAATAAAATTCATGTTCCAAACCACCAACCAGTCATGTTAGGCAATGTTAGGCCATCTTTGATATAACGATGGCATGATGGCCCTGAGGACGGAACCACCATCAAACGTCTTAGCCAGCGATCCACTTCTTGGTCGTAGACTCTTGCAGCCTGCCGTTGGTCGTTTGAAACATCCCCCGAAACCAGGGGATTTCTGGGACTTATGAAACTTATGAAACTTATGGGATTTATGGGTTTCATGGTATTTATGGTATTTATGGTATTTATGGTATTTATGGTCCTTTGTGGGCTCAATGACGATGATTTCTATAGCAACACCAACCTAATATCCCAAAAGCCAAGGTGGTCAACCCAATTCGGAAGAACCCTTTTAAGATTCGTATGGATTTACAAAGTATAAAACCCCGCTACCATATTGGGATCACTGAAGGAGCTCAGCGTCTGTAGGATACGGGTTTGTCTGAAGGGCGCACAAAGCCTTATTATCATCAGCATTTCCCCATAAACATTGCCGTATATAATCATAAAAAATATATAATCATAACTATATATATAGAATCATATTTGTTGCAGGGGTTTCCAGCGGTTTTGGCACATGGGGATAAATGGGGGTTATAGGTCTCCATC